TAACAAAAAAACATAATGTAAAACACCTAATTCTACGACAGCGGCGCACTTGGGAAGGAAACTCTCATAGGTAGATGAAGGCATGATCAGAAAATATTACTTGCTGGCCAGATATAACAAATGTTTACGTCCGCGGAGGTACATTTATACCGTAAATCGCAATGGATTCTGCTCACATGGTCAGGAAATAGTATTAGTTGCAAGGGATGGCGCCTGTTTACATGCCGGGGCGTATGTGCCCGTATGTAAGCGTATGTAGCCGGTTTTGCAGGATTCAGGGCTTCGTGATTATAGGATTGAGATTTTAGGGTCCACTAGCCCAAACTCGCAACCTGTTGGACGTGTCCCACCCACCCATGACCAAACACATATTGATCTCAAAACGACGACGATGTTGTCTCCACACCGTGTCGCTGGCGCTGGGCCGAGCCCTCCACCGCGTCACGGCGGAATCGTAGCGATGCGTTGAGACCCGGCTTGCGCCGCTCACCACCGCCGCCCACCGCGGCGCCCCCAGAAAAGCGTCGACGAGGCGCAGCTGCGCCTTCCTCCGGGAGCTTTTCGGCGAGAGACTCCCGAGGGAGGGGGGCTTCTGGGCGGCCGTGGTCGTCCTGCCGCGCTGGCTCCGCGGCGCTTAAGCGCGCCGCGGAGTGTCAGCGCGACGGGGCGACCATAGCCACTCGGAAACCCAGGGGGCCATGTCCAGCCTCCACGGGGCGGCCCCTGGGGAAGGGCACGGGGGCGGCGCTCAACCCGAAAGGGTCGAGGTCGCGCCCGCACCTTTCGCAAAGGACTAACGACGCCATGTCTGGCATTCCGATGTCAGCATCTCCTCCCAGAACGCCATTCCTGGCACTCCGAGGCCAAGAATCTGCGTGAGGGGTGCGCCGAAATGGGGGGCAGCATCAGGGGCGCGGAAGGGCGTCCGTGAGAGCTTCAGGATTTAAATATTTATAGGCTCTTAGTTCTCAGGGTTTAGGGCCGAGCAGGCCGCCGAGAACTCTCCCAAGGCGCCCCTGCAGAACCCCGAGGCACATCCGAGACGGCCCGCACTCTCTCCCACGAGAGCTCCTCCAGAAACGGAGACGAGAAGTGTTGCACGTGACGGCCGTCTGGTCTCTGCTCGAGGAGGTCGTCACACAGAGCGCTTCGCTCGTGCGGTGGCGGGCTCGCCGTAGGCATATCGATGTGCTGTCTCATGTTACGATCTTCCACGCAACGACGACTGCTGCGCTGGCACGGAGGTGGAATTTGCCGCATGCAGGTCCAAGTTCTCTCTGATTCCTCCTCGTCTCCACCTTCATCATGCTTCCAGTCATTCCATGCTTCCCCATCTACCTCTCTGTGGAAGGTTCCGCAGCCGAGGCTCGATCATGTTGCATTGTAGTTCGCCCTGAATGGATTCAAAAACTTGTCATCTCGTTCTTCTCCTCCGTCGCTTTCAACTCCTCATGATCCTCCTCCTCCTCCTCCACAACCTCGCCTTCCCAAGATGGTCCAAGATACCCTAGACGGCCCAAGCACCCCAAGTTGACCATTTCTGAGAGCTGGCCGCGCCGATCAACCCTTCAGATCCCCGCGAGCTCCCCCTCCAGCTTTGCCGTCCACTCCTACGATTCCCCCTCCTTTGCCCTCCCCTTCCTGCTGTGGCCCTCGGAGATCCCAGGTTGAAAAGATGGAACATGGGGTAGATTGAAAGGGCTCTCCCCACTGGAAATGCTTCAATCGTCGTTGACCTATGCTGTTTCAGGAGCCCGAAAGATCGCCCCCAGAGCGCCCAAGAGGCCTCCAAGATGGCACTATGACGGCCCAAGAGGCCCCCAAGACGGACCAGGAGGGCGCCAAGACGGCTCCAGAGGCCTCCAAGACGCCCAAGACGGTCTCCGAGACGGCCAAGATGGCCTCCAAGATGCTTCCAACACGGTCAAGATGAGCTTCAAGACGGCCAAGATGGCCGCTAAGACAGCCAAGATGGCCCAAGATGGGCCCGAGAGGTTCCAAGATTACCCCAGGGGAGTCCAGGAGGTGCTCCAGGAAGGCCCGAAGGAGCCAAAATCTTCAATCGTACTTAGGTTGTTGATAAATTGTTGTTTGTCCTTGGTTTTGGTGTTCCGACCGCATAAGACGGCCCAAGGAGTCCCCAAACTAGTCCCAGAGGCCTCCCAAATGGCTCCAGAACGGCCCAAGAGGCCTTCAAGCCAGCCCCAAGAGGGCCCCAAGATGGCCCAAGAGGTCTCAAAAACGGCCATGATGGTCCCCAAGATACCTCAAGACTGCCAAGATGACCTCCAAGACGACCAAGATGACATCCAAGACGGCAGGAAATATCCCCAAGCGAGCCGAAGGTGGCCCAAGAGGCGCCCAAGATGCCTCCAAGACAGCCCAAGACGGCTCCAAGACGTCCTCCAGGAAGGCCCGAAGAACACAAAATCAACGATGCTCCTTAGGTGTTTGTAAGATGTTCGCATGTGCTTCTTTTCGGCCTTCCGACGATCCAAGACGGCTCAAGAAGACCCCAAGATCGCCCCAAGATCGCCCAAGAGGCCCCAAAATGTCCTCATGACGGCCAAGACGCCCCCAAGACGGCTCCAAGAATGCCCCAAGATGGCCCAGGAGGCTTCCAAAACGCCCAAGATGGCCTCCAAGACGGTCCTCAAGCGCCCCAAGAGGGCCCCAAGTCGGTTCAGAAAGGCTCCCAAGACGGCTTTCGACGGCGTCAGACGGGCCAGGAACGCCCTAAGACGGCCAAAGAGGCCCCCAAGAAGCCCTCAAGAAGCCCCCAAGAGCTCCCAAGAGGCTCAAGAAAGCCCCCAAGAGGCCTCCAAGAGGCCCGAAGAGTGCCGCAAGAGGCTCCCAAAACGCCTCCTCCTCCTCCTCCTCCTCCTCCTCATCCTCCTCATCCTCCTCCTCCTCCTGCTCCTCATCCCTCTCCTGATCCTCCGCGTCACACGCGCTGATTGCAGCACTGTAGCTAACGACGTTCGGACTGATATCCAATCGCCTGGGCTCCCCAGCAGCTTCTCGCGTGACTTGTTCGGCCCCAAGAGGAGCGCCAAGACGAGCCAAGAGAGCGCCAAGAGACCTCCAAGACGGCCCAAGGGGGAACCAAGACGCCCAAGGATCGCCCCAAGACGCCCAAGATGGCCCAAAGACAGCCCAAGAGGCCTCGAAGACGCCCCCAGAGACCTCCACTCCAGAGAACCCCAAGAAACCAAAACCATTGTGTTTGTTCTTAAAGTGTTCTACAAGTTTTGGCGTTCTCGACTTCTCGGCTTCCCGACGCTCCCAGACGGCCCTCGAGGCCTCCGAGACCGCCCCACGACGGACCAAGAACCTCCAAGAGAACTCCAAAACGGCCCAAGAGCACCCCGACACGGCCCAAGAGGCGCCCAAGACGGCTCCAAAAGAAGCCCAAGAGAGAGAACACGAACCGAGAATCCGAGCCTTCGCCCCAAGAGGCGCCCAGGAGGCCCCAAGAAACCCCCAAGAGGCCCCCGAGAGGCCCCCAAGAGACCCGAAAGAGGCCCAAGAAGCCCCAAAACGCCCCCCAAGAAGCCTCCAAGCTGCCTCCAAGACGGCCCCCGAGAGACATCCCACGAGATCCCAACAAACATTACATAGGCTTCATACGCACAACCCTGGCACTCCAGGCATACAGTCGACTTGCCTCAAGTGGTACTTGTTCGATCCAGTTGGGGCATATAACATATGTGTCCGCCGCCCCCTGTTGATTCATCACAAGGGTGCCTGGCGTGCTAGACCATTTCGCGTTTGGCTTTGGTTCTTCTCCCAAAAGATCTCCGACTGGGACTTCGGCCCGTCCCGCCGGCCACCCGAAAGGCCCGCAAACAACCTCAACGTCCCAAAAAAATCCTCCGAGACGGCTCAAGATGGCCTCCAAGTCCGCCCAAGATGGTCCAAGATGTCCCGAAGACGACCCAAGAGTCCAAGATGCCTTCAAGTTCGTCCAAGAAGCCTCCAAGACGGCCCAAGATGGCTCCAAGATGGCCTAAGACTGCCAAAGAGGGCCCCAAGAGGCCTCCAATAACTCCACCAGGAAGGCCCGAAGAGGCCAAAGTCATCAATTGTCCTTCGGTGTTTAAAGGATTTGTGCAATTCTTCTGTTCAGCCCTCCGACGGCCCAAGACGGCCCAAGAGGCCCCCAACATCGCTCCAAGAGCGCCCAAGAGGCCTGCAAGATGGCCCCATGACAGGCCAAGAGGCCCCCAAGAGGGCCCCAACAAGGCGGCCCAAGAGGCCCCCAAGACGCCCAAGGTGGCCTCCAAGACGGCCAAGATGGTCTCCAAGATGCCTCCAAGACGGCCGAGAAGGCCTCCAAGACGGGAAGATGGCGATGCACCCAAGACGGCCCCAGGTGGCCTGAAGATGGCCTTAGACTGCCCAAAAGGCCCGCCAGAGGCCCCCAAGACGGCCCAAGACCCCTCCAAGACGTCCTCCAGGAGGCCCGAAAGCTCGGAAACCACCTGGTCCGATAGCTCGCCCGACTCCGTGTTCCTCGAAGGCTTTCGAAAGCCATCCTGGGAACGCGTGGCCCGGTGTCTTGGCCAAGCTCAAACCCAACTTTCGGCCACGCAGGCGCTTCCAAAAAGGCAGGAGGCGGCGGTGATTCGCCGAAGGCGTCTTCGATCTCAATGTTTCGTTTCCAACTTGCCCGAATATAAAGCTGATCTGTCATTATGTCAATATTTCAATCGTCTGCCGTCCGACCCCAATGTCGTCAATCATTCAATCACTTAAATATGTTCAATCGCTTTTCCTATGAACAAAGCCAGGAGGTGATGTACGGGAGGGCAGGGGGCAAACTTGAATGAGGGAGAGAACGGAAGGAGACGAGGAAGAGGACGAGCGAGAGGGAGGAGAGGGAGCCGAGGGCGAGAGTGAAGGCAGAGCGAGAAGGGGGGAACGACTGGATGGAAGTGGAGTGAGGGCACGCGCAAAATAAACATACATACAAACACAGAAACTGGCAAGAGGCACGCCTGAATTCTGGATACTCGTCCACGAACCGCTGCATCTCCTCGATTGACTCTATCTTCGCAGTGTTCTTCGTCTGCGACTGGTACTGTTCCACGTACTTCTTAATGCTAACGCCCAGGTCGCCAAAGTTCGAGAACATGTTCTCCTCAAGCAACATCACGCCAAGACGACAAACTTCAGTAGACAAGCGCGTTCCGCTACTCGCAAGGTCACTACTGGCCAATGGCCTGGATCCGCCGTGGGGAATGTACAATATATTATATCGGGGCGAACGCGGGTTTTTCAGACGATTGCGAGTAGGCATTTTGCGAGTAGTGAAACGCGCTCGGCGATTCAGAAAAGTGCGCAGGCATCAGCGGGAGCTCTGATGGGCCGGGTGCAGAATGGCAGGAGGAACGGACTCAGGAAAGGGGGCAGCCTCGCGGCCCGACGGGTCATCGGCCCGATGTACAGTAGGAGCTCGACCACAAGAAACCCGCCAACAGAAACCCAACCCTGAGACCCCAGGACGCCCATTGACTTTTGGTGTGGGAGCGTCACGCATTCCATAGCGAAGCCATCGAAACCCAAGAAACCTGGGGCACCCTGGAGGCAAGCAGGGTGTTTATTGGCATGGGTGTCCACTGTATGGTACATCTGGGCGATTACTCGAATGCCCAAAGGCCAGAGGCGTCATAGATGTTACACACGAGTACAGCTTAAGTCGGGAATTGAATTATCCCGGCAAAGCAACCTAACAGCGATGTGTAGGAGCATATCTGGAAGCATTCCCCTTAAGATTCAGATGAGAATCCAGTTGTAGAATTGTGCTGTTCTCGCAGTCGTAGTCGCATTCGCGATGACAGTCGCAGTGGCAACGGCAGTCACAGACACAGCCTCAGCCTCAGCCTGCCTCAGCCTCAGCCTCAGCCTGCCTCAGCCTCAGCCTGCCTCAGCCTCAGCCTCAGCCTGCTTCAGCCTCAGCCTCAGTCTGCCTTCAGCCTCGGCCTCAGCCTCAGCCTGCCTCAGCCTCAGCCTGCATCAGCCTCAGCCTCAGCCTCAGCCTGCCTCAGCCTCAGCCTGCCTCAGCCTCAGCCTCAGCCTGCCTCAGCATTCAAAATGTGGCCCGGGAATGGAGTTCTGGGAACTCGAAGAACACGAAGTGGCCTACAGTTGGCTCCGGGCATTCAAAATCATGCCCAGGAATGGAGTTCTGGGAACTCGAAGACCACGAAGTGGCCTACAGTTGGCTCCGGGCATCCAAAATGTGGCCCGGGAATGGAGTTCTGGGAACTCGAAGACCACGAAGTGGCCTACAGTTGGCTCCGGGCATTCAAAATGTGGCCCGGGAATGGAGTTCTGGGAACTCGAAGAGCACGAAGTGGCCTACAGTTGGCTCCGGGCATTCAAAATGTGGCCCGGGAATGGAGTTCTGGGGTGTCAAGTACGAGGAAGTGTATGACTGTTGCTCCGGTTTTCTAAAGGTGGCCCGGGAATGGCGTTCTGGGATCTCGAAGAGCACGAAGTGTGTGACTGTTGCATCCGGTTATTCAGAATGAGCCTGGGAATGGAGTTCTGGGAACTCGAAGAGCACGAAGTGTGTGACTGTTGGTGAAAAACGAGCGGGGCCCCCTGCCGCCCGGCAACTCCCAACGCCTGCCCGGACCCCCCTGTGGAGTGATCTGCTGCTCTCTTTTGACCCCACTAGAAACCTATCAGAACAAGCTGTTAGGTAAAAAAGGTTCGGGCACGATTAAAGAAAACAGCGATTCGGAAACTTGCCCGAGGGGGCACATAGCACAGGGAGCTCTTGAGAGCCTCGGCGTTCAAGTTGCTATTGATGCTGGTGCTCATGCTGCTGCTGCTGCTGCTGCTGCTACAGCCTTGGCGTGCAGGCTACTACTGCTACTCCTGCTGCTGCTATCCCCAATCCAGTCGTTGTCTCCCTCCCCCTCCTCCTCCTTTTCCCTCTCTCTCTCTCTCTCTCTTTCTCTCTCTCTCTCTCTCTCTCTCGCTCACTCCCTACCACCCTCCCATCCCCTCTCTCTCTCTCGCTCTCGCTTGCTCTCTCCATCTGTCTCCTCCATCTGTCTCTCTCTCTCTCTCGTTATTTGTGTTCCTTTGAGTCAGGCGCAGGATGCGCAGGAGTTAAAAGCAAATTGATGAAACAGCCTCGAGCAATCGACGAAACACCGTGACAAAGAACACTATTTCACACGGAAGCGCTGCTCGCAAAAGCCGAGCTCTTAGGCAGCAGCACACATGTTCGGAGACATTTCACGCGAAACGCCCCTCGTCGTTTCCGTCGTCCTCCTCCACCCGAAGGGGAGGAGACCAGAAAGACCGGGAGGACCTGAGACACTCGAAAGAGGACACATTTCTCTCCTCGCACGCCTACCCCTCCGATCATCATCCTCATCCTCCGCCCCCTTCGCATCTCGCTCCCCCGCCTAATCCCGCCCCTCGTCATCCTCATGCTCACCCCACTGCTTCTCTCGTCCTTCCCTTCTCGTTCGAAGCATCATCCTGAGCCGCATCCCCCGCCCAAATTCCGTCCCTATCGTCAGCCCCCTGGTGCTCATCGTCTCTCTCCTCCCGACCTCCCCCAATCATCGCCTGTGTCCTCCGACCCTCGCCGAGTCCGAGGGCCTTCAAACTCAACTCGGCACATAGAATCAGATGGGGACGGCATTACTTGAATGTCTGCCGTGGCCGCGCCGTTTTTTTTCAGCGAGGGGCGGTCCGCAGAAACGCTAACACGGGTTGGAGCACAGTAGAAACTGCATTCGCGTTCGTGCGGCGCCAACTGCAGGAGGACGTGGGGGAGACAGGGGGATTAGAGGGGGGCAAGACGATACGTGCGCGGCTGGAGCGTAAGAGCGAGGACACGGGCATACCCAGACATCCGGCCGCTCCAATTTGTTCGATGCGCGGGCCCCAGAGGTCTGGAACATTTCCCTAGGGCCAGCTTTTCGTCCTGAGTCGCTCTTTGACGGTCCCGAGGCCGAAAACGGCCAAAAACTGGACGCTCAATGTCTTCCGGAGCGTCGCATCTCTTGATAGAAGCACGTGCAAGGTGGCGCGGGAGGGGGAGAAAGGAGACAGGGCGAGGGAGCGGTGAAGAGTGAGCGGGGACGTGGCAGGAAGGTGGAGTGGGGCGAGGGGCGCGGCGAGGACGGAAACACGAGGACGAGGAGGAGACCGCAGAGGACGACGAGGTAGCAGGAGGAGGAGCACGTCGGCGGGGCGGAGAACGCACGGGACAGGAGCGGTGGAGTGCAGGTGCGCGGCAGCTGGATCGGCGCGGGCCTCGGCGGTTGAAAGCTCTGGCCTCCACCTCTCGACGATTGCCCTGCACCTCTCCGCGGTTGCCCGTGGAGATGGGGCAGGAAGGCGGAGGAGGGGGGAGGGAGGGAACCACTGCGCCAATCACGCGGAGCGATGCGAGCCACTCTTTGGGGGCGGCGGAACAGTGTCATCCTCCGAGGTAGTGGTAGGCGGCACCACTAAAACGGTGCAGGACGTGGAGCTCACCAGAGAGACCTTCTGTGCAGGAGGTGGAGCTAGAAGCAGATGCCTCCGAGAAGACACGCACGGTGGATACTCTCCCCTTTCCTCCAGGGAGAGGCTGGCCGTGAAGAGGACGCAAGGAGGACAGAGAGGTGGAGAGGCAGACAAGGACAGAGGTAGATCGAGGCCAAGGGGGCGGAATTCTGAAGAACAGTCGAGGTCTCCTCGAAGAACGTATCCTGAGTCGGCGACATGACGATCTCTCGCAGCTCGTCTCTGATGCCTGGAACCTGCCACACTCGGAGTAAGCAGAAGACGGAGGCTGGAGCAGATGGAAACTGGAGAAGGGCTGGGTTGGAGGAGGAATAGATGTAGGAGGAAGATGATGCGGAGGAGGAGGAGGGGGATAAGATGGCAGTACCTGGAGGCTGTGCAGGCGGGCAACCTACGTAGACATAGCTTGTTCCGTGCCCGGGAGGGCAAAGAGATGTCTGCTCCTCCAAACCAGCAAGCTTGACCCCCCAGCCGCAGCAAAATCAAGGGTAGGCAAGCCCGCTTCCTCCCCTGACCATGGCGCAGGAGAGCCTCCCCCGCGGCCGAGACCTCCTCGCCCGCGCCTCGTCCGAATAACATGAGTAGGCAGAAATCAGAAGCTGGGCTTAGGATTGCAAGGGTGAACGAGGGGGCGTCGTCGTCATCGATCTTTCAGGGTCGTCGCGTCGTCGCCATCGTCAATACTTCAGGGTCGTCGCGTCCTCGCCGTCGTCGTCGTCGTGGCCGTCGTCGTGGCCGTCGTCGTGGCCGTCGTCGTGGCCGTCGTCGTCGTGCATCTTTCAGGGACGTCGCCCTTGGATAACCCCTTGCGCAAGTTGTACAGTCAACCCACATAGTAAGGATGGGCAATTTCCCTAAGGATACCCTTGCATCATTGCCTCCTCGGTCCCTCCTTGGCCACCTTCGCTGGCCGCGCCCCGCCCGAAAAGCTTCGAAACGGTCTTCCAATGCCCTTGCATCCTTACCGTGCATCCTTATGATACGGGTCGACTGTAGTCACCCAGAGGCGAGCCCCTTACATAGGGAAACCAACAACGACATAAACATAAAAATTCAGAGGTCCGCGATGATTTCTTGGATCGGCGCTGGGCCCCACTCCTGGAGCGCGCCAGGGGCGGCGCCGGAGGCGCCGCCAGGGGGGCCCCAGCGCCGATCCGAGAAATCCGCGCGGACCTCCGAGTTTTGATGTTTGTGCCATTGTTCGTTCCCCCATGCGGTCACCCACTGGCGAGCACCTGTCAGTCGTGCTGCCACAGGGAACGCCGGGTAAGGAGCGAGGGTGCTCTTCTGGCCGCGACTCGCCGCCGGCCACGAGCCGGGCCCCCCCGACCTGCACCGAAGGGACGGCCAGAGAACCAGAGCGCCTCCCGAGCCCCAAGCGGTCCTCCTCCTCCTCCTCCTCCTCCTCCTCCTCCTTCTCCTCCTCCTCCTCCTCCTCCTGCTCCTCCTCCTCCTCCTCCTCCCTCCTCCTCCCTCCTCCTCCTCCCTCCTCCTCCTCCTCCTCATCTTCAGCGACTTGACTGCAGCGCATGCTGGCCAGGTCTGCCGAGGGCGCGCGCCTCCCAGGACTCCGCCCGTGCACATGCTTGCAGCTGCTGGCCTCGACGATGGCGAGCCGTTTGGGCGACGCTCAGTGGGGGGGCGCGACACTGGGGAGGGGGGAGGAGAAAGGTGCACTAGGGGCCCGGAAGGGCCCCTTTTCTGCAGCCCTCGCTGCCCCCATTATCGCCCCCCCACTACGCGGCGCCCAAGCCGAGTAGCTCCACGACGCTCTGGCGCGGACACAGCGAGCGCGGCCGCGTGTGCGAGAACTACTGTGAAAGCAAAGTGCCATCGAAACGATAGCTTGCATGACCGCTGAGCAAAACCCATCCCTGCACAAGCCCTCGCACAACCTGTGAACTTATCTCACAAGACGGAATACACGGGTGGACAGTGATCGCAAAGCGTCTTGAGCGGCATCTTGAGGCGGAAAAGCGCAGCCTTTCATTCACTCGCACATCCGCCACCACCCCGCGGCAGAGCCTTCGATAAGTCGATACGATTGTTATCCATGCCAAGGAGCTCGTGCAGCATTGCCTGATACGTCCACTGATTGAGCAGCGGCGTGACAGGGTCGTTTCTCCGATCCAATCCACCAAGACGCCCGTTGGCGCTCGAATTTAGGCTTGGGCCGTTTCTGGGAAAACACGTCTCCACGCAAATATTACAGCCCCATGAAAACTATCGTGCCCACCCGGCCCCTCTAATAAACGTTTCATCGCCATCCTTCTCCTCCTCATCCTCCTTCTCACCCTGCCCATCTTCGTCCTCCTTCTCCTGACATTGCCCGCCAGGCAAAAAATCCTCCTCCTCCTCCTCCTCCTCCTCCTCCTCCTCCTCCCCCCTCCTCCTCCTCCCCCCCCCCCTCCTCCTGCACCTCCTGCTCCTCCTCCGCCTCCTCCTCCCTCTCCATCCGTCTTCCTCCCTCCCGCCGCACCCACAAACGCGTCGGCGGGGCGCGCTCCCGGCGTCTCGCCCGAGACCTCCCCACCGCTGGTGATCCGGAAGCCTGGGAACCCGCAACAGTTCCACGGACGGAGGGTGCTCCTTTTTCGTAAATGCAAACAACATCGCTTATGGCCCTTGGGTTTACACTGGTCCTCCTCCTCCTCCTCCTCCTCCTCCTCCTCCTCCCTCCTACCTCCTCCTGCTCCTCCTCCTGCTCCTCCTCCTGCTCCTCCTCCTCCTCCTCCTCCTCCTCCTCCTCCTCCTCCTCGCCCCCCCGTAACAGAGTCACGCACGGAGGGCAAGCCGCTTTCAAAATCTGGCTCTCGCCCGCCTTTAGCGCCGCGCACACTCGTTGCAGAATCCCACCAGCCCTCTGGGAGACAGGTGGTCTAGCGATGTCTTGCTTTCCTCTTCCAAAAACCCCTTTCTTCCCCTTCGGGGAGGGGTTGACCCTCCTCCTACCCCCTCCCCTGGACCTGGACGGAGGGGGTCGCGAGGTATCAGAGAACCCTTGTTCGCCCAAGACGGCTCCAAGAAGGCCTCAGAGAGCCCAAGATGGCATCCAAGCTCGCTCAAGATAGCCCAACATGGTTCAAGATAGCTAACAACATGCCTCCAAGAGGCCCCAAGAGGGCCACAAGACGGTTCCAGGTACTGTTGGCGACCCCTCAGGAACCCCCGAGAAGCCAAAATGCTTCGAACATCTAAGGAAAATCAATGATGTTTGCCTTCTCGCCTTTACGCTTCCGATGCGCGTTTGAGGCCTCAAGATGGCCCTACGAAATATGGCCCACGAGGGCCCCAAGATGGGCCCAAGAAGCCCCCAAGACTGCCCCAAGAGCGCCCAAGATCGCCCGAAGAGGACCCCAATAGCGCCCCAAGAGGCTATTTCGATGGCCCCGGAGGAGGGAGCCCCAAGAGGACCCCGAGATGCCCCGAAAGAGCTCCAAGATGACCCCAAGATCGCCCATTACAGCCCCGTGGCTCCAAGGAGGCCTCCGATGCCCCAAGATAACCTCCAAGATGGCTCAACATCCTCCTTCCTCTCCTCTCCTTGCACGCTCTGTTTTACTATTACTGTATGTGTCTCTTCTCTCCACTTCCCGACAGCTCTCATGGGCAGGGCTTCTGGATAGGCTGGTGGGAATTCGCGAAGCGTGAACAATAATGCAAAAAGTTTCAGTTTCACGGATGGAGGCCGGGTCGTTCTCAAAATGTGCTCTCGCCTTAGAGCCGTGCGCCTGCGTCCTCAAAGTGCACACCAGTTTCAAGGATTCGTATGGTTGAAGTCCCAGGAACGGTGTTCTGGCAGGAGATAGGATTGTCAGGACGCAACAGTCAAACAGACACGTTAATTCGCTGCGCTGAAGTCCATAGAGTGGTGTTCGGGCACGGTTCAGAATTCTCATACTGTTGTCTTCCAATGGGGTACATTTCGCAGTGAAGCTACCTGATTGTGGGGACCTAAGAGAAGGGAACTTTGCGGGAAGGTCTATTGCAACATCGTTGACGCGTCTTGGGTTTATACTGGTCTCGCTCCTTCTAATCATCATCATCATCATCATCATCATCATCATCATCATCATCATCATCATCATCATCATCATCATCATCATCATCATCATCATCATCATCATCATCATCATCATCATCATCATCATCATCATCATCATCATCATCATCATCACCCTCCTCCCTCTCCTCATTGCTCCCCCTGCCTATTCCTCCACTTCCTTTCCGCCTTCTCGCTATAGCTATTAATTATCATTTCACCCTCTCCTCCTCCTCTTCCTCCTCCTCCTCCTCCTCCTGCTCCTGCTCCTCCTCCTCCTCCTCCTCCTCCTCCTCCTCCCCCTCCCGCTCCTCCTCCTCCGCCTCCTCCTATTGCTCCGCCTCCTCCTCCACCTCCTCCTCCGTCTCCTCCTCCTCCTCCTCCTCCTCCTCCTCCTCCTCCTCCTCCTCCTCCTCCTCTTCCCTCATCCCCCTACTCCCTCTCCCCACTGATCCCCTTCCCTCTTCCTCCACCTCCCCCGCTTCTTGCTATTACTGCTCTTCCCCTCAACTCCCCATCTGGAGAACAAAGGGGTAGTGATACCGCGACTCACCGGACCTCTTCCAAAGCGCGTTCTGACCACCCCAAGAGGCCCAAGAAGGCGAGAACAACGGAAGGGTGACTGTACCGGCACCCTCTCCTCCTATGATCATCTCCTCCACGTCTCCTCCTCCCTCTGGGAAGGGAAAGGCGACGAATCGCCCGGCGGGCCGGCGACCGCCGATTCGATATCAGGAGCACCGGGGAAGCCTCCCCCCGGGCTGGCCGCTCGATGGTCTCGAAAATGCTCGACTCCTCCGCAATCCTGCGGCCAGAGGGAGGGACGTGGTGGAGGAGGACGAAGAGGAGGAGGAGGCCGACGACCATCGCCCTGGCGAGGATGAGGATGAGGATCAAGATGATGATGAAAGTTAGAATGAGGATGTTGCTGCTGAGGATGAGAACGTTGAAGTCTGAGGGAATTGGTAATAGAAATTATCATCAGCATCAGAATCACAATCATCACCATCATCATGAACATAATCAGAATCAGAATCACAATCTTAATCATAATCATAACCATAATCATACATCAAAAAATGAAAATAGTGGAAGCAAAAAAAACATAGAAGTAGTAAAACTACAACTTAGCACAGCAATAATGATAAACATAATCATATCCGTAATCATGAAAATACGAATAATAGTAGTGCG